TACCCCTGATAATGTCCCCGGACTCCCCTCCTCTCCCCTTTATATTACCCCTTACCCCTGATAATATGCCCGGACTCCCCTCCAATCCCTTCTTATAACCCCTGATCATGTCCCCGTACTCCTCTCCTATCATCCCTTACCCCTGATAATGTCCCCGGACTCCCCTCCTATCCCCTTTATATTACCCCTTACCCCTGATAATGTCTCCGCACTCCCCTCCTATTCCCTTTATATTACCCCTTACCCCTGATAATGTCCCCGGACTCCCCTCCCATCCCCTTTATATTACCCCTTACCCGCTATAATGTCCCCGGACTCCCCTCCCATCCCCTTTATATTACCCCTTACCCCTGATAATGTCCCCGGACTCCCCTCCTCTCCCTTCTATATTGCCTGAACTATTATTCTTTGAAGGGGGGAGAGAGGTATAGAAAAGAAGGAGGAGGTGAGGGGGGGGGTATAGATAAGAGGGAGGGAGAGGAGAAATAATCAGATATAGAACGATAGAAGGGAGAGAATATAGGAGGAGAGACGGCTGGGTGAGAGGAGTGCGGGGAAGGGAAGCAGAGATCGCTCCTCGTTGGGGGAGAGGATTTCTCCGGGAGGTGTTGCGGCGCTATGACAAGTCAGAGTTAAATTATATATTAATAAATGAATTAGCTCGACAAATAATAGCCATAATGACATTTTAGGAGACAATAAGTCTGAGGATTGTCAGCGCAGAGCCGGTCTATGAGCGTCACGTCTGACTGGCTTTTCAAAATGAAGAGAGCTTTGCGAAGCCGGCCCGGGCCCCGGCTCCCGCCGCCTCCTTCCTCCGCCATAATTTACTTGTTGTCAATTTGTATGGGCACATTACACATGCAAATTGAGCCGGCTGCGCAAACAGCACTTACAGACGATAAAAACACATTTAGCCCGGCTATAGAGGCCGGATTTATTTCACTTGCTCACCCAGGTCAAGCAATACATGTATCTCACGATTGTGTGTACCCAATTTGGTTGTAATTATATTGGCAAATTATTCTCTATAATCTTATTATTTTTAGCTGTCTCCTAGGGCGACGGGTGCCATTATCTGTTTGGGATTTTAAATGCCTTCCTCCTATTTTGGAGGCTTTGTGTAAATTAAAAATGTCATAGTTCCTAATATTGAACGCGCTTGCTCATTCCTCGCTGAATTAGGGCCCCCTGAAAACCTCGACGTTTGCTACCAGATATCCCAGCCACTTTATATGTTAATCTGTGCTAATGAATTCCACAAGCTACGGGCCCGCGCCAGATGACTAAAATTATTACCACTTCTAGAGATAGGCTTTTTTTTTTTTCATTTAAAGTTCAATTCAAATTGGTGCTATAAACAGCCTGACACACAAAGATACCTCAGTAATTATGATTAGTTTATCTGCCCCCTCTTCTCCCCAGTCCGCGGGTTTTCGCCGACCCGCTCCGCCGCTTAAAGCGGCAAGGTTTTAGAAAGCGGGCTCGGCGTCGGAGGCAGGCTGGCGGCAATGCCTGCCATCCCGCTAGTCGTCCCGGCGGGTCCGGAAAGGGTTAATCTTTGTGGTTTTTTGGAGGATGATGAAGAGTAAGGTGTCAGCAATAAGCCAACTGGAGGCTTGGGGGCCACGTATAGCCCTCCTGGCCTATCTCCGAAGCCTTCTAACATATCTGCCAACACAGCCACGGGGAAGGACCACCACAAGTCCTCCAGCCATTGGAAAGTCCCGGCACACATGGACAGCCAGCATCTGGTGGGAATTCTGTAGTTCCTGACCAGCCAGAAGGCGTCATTTTCCCTTATCAGGCCCAGCACACATGAGTTCCCGGGTCTGTACACCCGCTGTGCCCATTATGAGGGGCTCCCACCATCCCTGTGCTGGGTTCCCGGGTCTGTACACCCGCTGTGCCCATTATGAGGGGCTCCCACCATCCCTGTGCTGAGTTCCCGGGTCTGTACACCCGCTGTGCCCATTATGAGGGGCCCCCACCATCCCTGTGCTGAGTTCCCGGGTCTGTACACGCGCTGTGCCCATTATGAGGGGCTCCCACCATCCCTGTGCTGAGTTCCCGGGTCTGTACACCCGCTGTGCCCATTATAAAGGATTTTATATGATAAATATTATACTCGCTAATGTCTTATATATATAGTATAGATAGAGATATATATGCAAATAAAAAATAAATTGTATATATTTATTATTTTTAATTGTATTTGTTGATATTTATTGTTCTGTAACCCTAATGAAGGGGTAGTTCGTGAACCCTAAAACGCGTTGCCTGATTCATATAATTGATCATTCAATAAAATATGCCTGTGGACTCTCTTGTGATTGGTCGGTGTTCTGGCTTTGTACACAGCGAGGTAACTTGGCATAATAATGGTAACTGGGAGTCGGCCGGTCAGAGGACTCTCCATCACATCATAAGTGGTCGGTATTATAAGTGACTGTTCGAGATCCGGGTAATGGACTCTTCATGCCGACGGGAAGTTTTCCTACGTACACGATTCCGTTCCCCTTGACGTGGATGGCGCAGTGTGGGTGACAGTTCCGCGTTTGACCCGCTTTGTGTTCCTTTGGGGCGCAGTCGGTCTATTGAGAAATGCGTTGGCATTGCGGCACGTTGTGTTGGAATGCGTTAGCAGCGCTCCCTTTGCGATTGGACGCAGCGCGGGTCTATGGGAACCTTCACGCTGCATCATGGCACTAAACACAATAACATCGAGGAATTGCGATCGCATTGATTGGGAGTCCCTCAGATCAGTAGATTGGGGTTAATGTATTGGAAGGATGCGAGGACGGCGCGGGCGGAGAGCAGGGCCGTATCATCGCTCCGCGCCGCTTACACGGGGGCGCCACAAACAAACAGATGACATTTAGGAAGCGTTTATCGCTCTGTCTGCAGCGGGAGAAGCTCTAATCCTCCGTTTCATGTCCCCCAACGAGGCGGCGCAGTCTACAGGTAACAAATCCTCCATTCTGCATCCTCTGCGTACGCGGCGGATTAATGCCGCACACAATCGTCTAATGTCCGGTGTGATGGAGAAGAGCAGCCGGGGGAGCGCGGAGACGTGGCGGAGACTTGGACACCATCCAGAGCCGGGAGACGCAGAGCCGGGAGACGCAGGGTGGGGAGATGCAGAGCCAGCGAGACGCAGAGCCGGGAGACGCAGAGCGGGGAGACGCAGAACAGGGAGACGCAGAGCCGGGAGACGCAGAGCAGGGAGATGCAGAGCCAGCGAGACGCAGTGCCGGGAGACGCAGAGCGGGGAGACGCAGAACAGGGAGACGCAGAGCCGGGAGACGCAGAGCAGGGAGACGCAGAGCCGGGAGACGCAGAGCCGGGAGACGCAGAGCCGGGATGATATATCAGTTTATGTTGAAGAGGAATATCAATAATAATACCAATGGGCCCCAGAACAGAACTCATCCCCCCCCCCTTCTGACCAACAGGCTTCATAGGAAACAACAAGATAAAAACTGTCAGCTTACATCTGATTGGCTGACACTAACAATCCAGTCTATGAGGGACGCATGTGCTAATGTCCCGCATCCACCATGGTAGCTCAGAAAAGACACGGCTGATACAACTCCATGTGTGTCAATAGTCCTGTGATAGAGTCTCACTTTATACTGTGTTGATATACACTATTGCCAAATGTGTTGGGCCCCTCCCCTGCACAGGTCAGGGCGGGCAGCACAGGTCAGGGCGGGCGGCACAGGTCAGGGCGGGCGGCACAGGTCAGGGCGGGCAGCACAGGGTCAGAAGACCAGTAGCACCAGGAGGCCAGAGAACGTGGTACGACACCATGAAATGATGCAATAACCTGGCATTGGCTGATCGGTTTGAATAAAATTGATACCTTTTGGCACTGAAGTGACATCATCCCTGGAGGCGGAGCTTTCTGTCTGCTGGTCTTCATTAGGCTGCGCAGTGACTGGCGCTGTCTCTTTAAGGGGTGCAGGTGACAGCAGCCAGAGGACTGCAGCGAGGAGCCGGAGCAGGTCGATGGAGAGGAGACAGTCACAGGGGGCCCCCTCTCTGTGTATAGGGAGAGGTGACAGCGGGGCCCCCTCTCTGTGTATGGGGAGAGGTGACAGCGGGGCCCCCTCTCTGTGTATGGGGAGAGGTGACAGCGGGGCCCCCTCTCTGTGGTGACAGCGGGAGTCCCTCTCTGTGTATTGGGGAGCAGTCACAGTGGGGGCCCCTCTCTGTGTATGGGGGAGCGGTCACAGTGGGGGCCCCTCTCTGTGTATGGGGGAGCGGTCATAGTGGGGCCCCTCTCTGTGTATGGGGAGTGGTGACAGTGATGGGGCCCCTGTGTATGGCGAGGGGTCACAGTGGGGGCCCCTCTCTGTGTATGCAGAGTGGTCACAGTGGGGGTGCCTCTCTGTGTATGCAGAGTGGTCACAGTGGGGGCCCCTCTCTGTGTATGGGGAGTGGTTACAGTGAGGGGCCCCTGTGTATGGCGAGCGGTCACTGTGGGGGCCCCTCTCTGTGTATGCAGAGTGGTCACAGTGGGGGCCCCTCTCTGTGTATGCAGAGTGGTCACAGTGGGGGCCCCTCTCTGTGTATGCAGAGTGGTCACAGTGGGGGCCCCTCTCTGTGTATGGGGATGACAACACTGGAGAAGAACCTGGGAACACCTTGGGGTCCTTAAAAATACAAATGAGATTAATCACACCCGCCATTTTATGAGGGGGTTGGGGGAGGTCAGGCCCCTGACAAAGATTTGCCCTCACTTCCTGTCCGCTGAAAATAGCTTCCCCAAACAGGAAGTGAGGCAAACTTTGCAACAACCTACAATAGGGGGCCCCCTCATAGGTCAAAGCACACTCCCTTCATCTCAGTCTCAGGATGACCTCCATGTACAGGGAACACAGAGGACGGGGATAATGGTACGGACAGACATTTGTGTCCTCCTTGCCAAACTTATCCTCTAACTTCCCCACACACAGTCCGCTCGGCGCTGAGCAGTGACGTCACCGGAGGGGAGGAATTATAGAGCCGCGCCAACACTTCCGCTTCTCCATAGAAACGGGGGGCGGGGCTAGAAATGTGGAGCGGACTCCCATCACCGGGACCGAGCGACTCCAACAGCACCGAGGATGAGGATGACAAAACGGAACCCGGAAGTGTGTCTGCCGCCTACCGAGCTGTACGGACTTTCCCGTCATCCTTATATCACC